CACACAGCGGCGGTGGCGGTGGCAGCGGAGGCCGTGGCGGCGCGACGCGGCGTGACGGGACGAGACGCGACGGGCGCGGGGACGCCCTCGACGAAGTCCCAACGGCGACCGACGGCGGTCCCGCGAGTTCGGCGTCGCGTGTAGCACGCGTGCGGTGGCTCTGCGCGGCACTTCGTCGCGACTTCTTCGCGACTTGTTGATCTTGCGGAAAGAGCGCGCGTCTTTGGCGCGGAAGTTGTGCGTTCGCGGAGGACACTCTGGGCGGCAACCGTTGCCCTGGCGGCGGTTTCCAAGAGGGCTCGTGACTTTTACAAACTGTACGATCCAGATTTATTGATAGTTTGGCTTTTGAACTCTGTCACATTTTGACTCTTGCTTAACATTTCTTTATTGATTTACCGCCAGTCTGGAGGACAGATTCTTTCTTCGGAGTTGCTTATCATGGTGACTGCGTTCGTAAATGCAAATGAAACAGTAGGAAATGTTTTATCCTTCTTCGAAGTAAAGTTGAGGAAGTTTCAAAAAGTTTCGCGCTCTCTGTATTTAGATAAATATCTCTGTGAATGTTAGTAGTTTGGTGTTCCTGAAAGACAATACATCTGTTTCATTATGATGTTAATTCGTATATTATTCAAGATGTTGATGTGCAATTTCTTCTCTGACGCTTAACACTGCTTTGATATAAAACACTGTGTCAAAGCAAGGTTGAGCATCTGTATTATTAGTGTATGTAGATAATAGTCGCAACGTTTTAAGCTCCGCTTTGGAGCCTGGAATGCCCTATATTGTGAGATACGTTCACGCTTTGGCTTCGTGCATATTCAACACCCTGATGCAACATCCGCGCCTCAATAAATCCGTGTCGGCGGCCACCGCCGGCAGCTAAGGCCGCGGGGGCGCGTGAGCCGCGAGGCGGCGGCGGGCAGGGGCGCGCCGGGGCGCGCGGGGGTCCTTTCGAAACAGTTCGCGAAGAGCGGAAAGTGGAGTCTCCATACCGTCTCTTCGCCGTGTGGACGTGGTCCACAGCCGGCATCACCATGCGGATGTTGCACACCGTCCACCTGCAGCGCTTCCACGGCGACGGGGGCGGCGACGAGGGCGAGGAGGAGGTGGCGGCGGCGGCGGCCGGGTGGACGGTCGCGCCCACCGTGGCCGGGATGGCGGAGGCCAGCGGCGACGGGAGCGGAGGCGGGCTGTCGCTGGAGGACGCGGCCAACGCCAGTTACGGCGGCAACTGGACCGGCGGCGCCGGCCCCGGCGGGCGCGCGCCGGCCGCCAGCGTCTTCGAGAGCAACCTCATCATCCCGCTGTACGTCATCATCTTCGTGCTGGCCATCGTCGGCAACTCGCTGGTGCTGGCGACGCTCGCGCAGAACAAGCGGATGCGCACCGTCACCAACGTCTACTTGCTCAACTTGGTGAGTGCGCGCTCCCGCTCGGCCTGCGCCTGTGTTTGGGCCTGCTCCGAAATCCGCGAGGAACCTTGTGCTTGACTATACTCTGAAACGGTTTTCCCCCTCTCAACGGCTTTTGTGACGACAAACAGCACAGTTTTAAATCCAAGTTAATGCTTTTGTGTTGTTTTTTTGTACGATCAACATTTCAGATTGCAGACTAATTTCCACACTAGATGCGTCAAAGATTGATCAGCAAGAAATCTGTCTTTGAGATATCTCATGTTTGTGTTTCTACTCCTACAATTAGCTTTATTGCTATTTATTTCAGAACCTTTCAACTTTCTGCTTTTTTTAAGACTACATTGCGTGCACAATCTTTTTTCTTATTTCTAATTCAATACGTTTAGTTAAATCTAGTTGTTCCTAAACGTGTTGCCAATGCTTTAGTGAATGTTTGAAAAATGAAACATTTTCTTATTTGTATTTCATTTGTTTGAACGAAATGCATTAATTGGAGGTTCACTTTTGGTAATGTATTTTATTCAAACAAATAAACGTAAGTAAAAAAGTGTGCAGGATTATTTCGGCGAAACGATCAACATAACACGGCGACGAGACGGGACAACCTATCCTATTAGGTAAAATATATATGTGTTAAATCATTTACGAAAACGTATTTACAAATGTGTCATATTTTCTTCATGTTTACTGAAAATCTTTCATACTGTTTTCTTACACGCATGCTTGAAAGTGTTATACATTTTTACTTGTTTTTACATAATCTCATTGGAGAACATTGGCTTTTGGAAATGACGCATCAGTATGTTCTTTATAAATCATCTGAAAAGTTGAACTAATACATTTAGTGTATGCGTTAGTGCAGTGTTTAGTTACATAATTATTTCTGCGAAAATACCAAATACATTTTTATTGACTTTCCTAATGTTCCAGTCATTTCATCCATGATGGAACTCTGAAATGAATTGCATCCGCAAAAATTCATCAACATTCATTCCAGACACTAAGGGGCAATAAAGTTGGTGTTTAATAGGCGCTACTTTTGTTTGTGTTCCTACCAACTTGTTGTTAGCGTCATTGTTAGCCCTGTTTTCGACTTTTTATCTTTTTTGTTCTAGTTTAGAACTAGTTTAAAACTCGCTCCTGAAAACGGAAAACCTACTTATTGTTTTCAAACAGAGAGAAAAGTTACGGCAGAGATAATTAGTTCATAATCTTGTTACACTCCATTCAAATAATCGCACCATTTTCAAAACAAGTTTAACACAAACTTTAAGTCTGAGATAAAATTCCTACAATAATATAGTTTGCGTAATAAGTGAGGTGATTATAAAATTTTCCCCTGGAAATATTTTCTACAATGAAAATGTTTTGAACCATATCATTTGTCCACGGCTGTTTTAAAACCAGGTGCAATATGACACTACAGCTTGAACTAAGCTTGTATTTATTTGTAAGTGCTTGATATTTATTTTTTCGTATTCGAGCACTAAATGAGGTCCTCCTCTCTTACATCGTAACTTCAAACTACAATCGATAATAAATAAGACTTGACGCATTTACTCTGCTTTAAAATAAATTTGGTTCATAATATTCTCCGTCTATTTTAATTCAATACTATTCGTTAAGTCATTTTGACACAATGAAATTAGTATACTTTTATAGAAAACTAATTTCGATGTGAAATTTTAAACGAGATGCATAGTAAGCCCTTGAAGAATGTATCTCGCTTCTCTTCTGTTTCTGCTCTTCAGGTTTGTTAATACATTATAATTTCCATAAAACGTGTATCAAATATCTCGTATATTGACAGTTTCCGTCGTTTGATCATCGTAAAATAAATAGATAAGAAATTTAAAGAAGTTTGTGTAAACATTTTTGTTATATTTTGTGATTTTCTTTTTTCTTTTCCAATGGTACCCAATTTAATCGTGACCTAGAAACATTGACCTTCTTATTCAGTGTTTTACAAGCGCTCTTAGCCCTCTCGTAGATTTTCATTGAATATCGTTATAAAAATTCGAAATCTAATATCCCAATTCTAACTCCAAAAGCACCTGACAAATGTCGATTAGAAAAAGAACTCTCGATAATAATTCAAAATAATTTCTTTATTCCTAAGTAATCGGTGTAATGGTTCGAATTTTCAAATCTAATGGCTAACTATTGATTAAATAATTTTATGTTCAAAATAAAAAAAAGATTTTGTAAGCAAATTTAAAATTGTTGCTTCGAATTATTCAGATGCCATTTTAAAAAATGTCGAAAAATGCGAATTACTAATTTTGATTTAAGTGAGAGTTTCAATTTGAACACAGTTTTCTTCAAACTCCTTAATAATTTGAACAACAAACCGTTTGATATTATTGTGTTTTCACTCTTGTGGTCTTAAACTTCACACATTTCTTCGTTTTTAAACTCGAGAATCAGGATTTCTTGTCAACGTAATGTAGCGCGCTAATCAATACAAGGAATTGAGGTTTAGCAAGAGCAAGGCTTGAGTATTTTAATACCCTACAAGGTATCCGGCGTTTATTATATTTTTTGATCTGCCCTAAACCGCCGAGTTGGCGCCGGGGGACCTCGCGTGCTGTCAGACTGTCACTATTGATCATCCAGAGGCCATGGGGGCGGGGCGTCTTCGCCTGAAAAGAAGGAATGGCTTAGGACCTGGCCGTTTAATTATAAGGGAGATCGAGAATAAGTGGGCATCCCATGTAATATTTACCCATCACTGATAGTGTAAATTTGTCATTGGACAATCACATCACTGACACTTTTGTTCATTTATGTCAACTATAGTTCATTTTATTTTGGCAAATGTGTTCGCGATGTAGAAAAGTCAAAATTTGTTTTCGGCGATATATTGCAGGTTTCTACAAATTTTTGTTCGATTAGACATTTCAAGAAATAAAATTAGGAAAAGCGAAGATTTTTTTATTTATTCTACCTTGGCTATTGGCCCTCTGCAACCGCATAAGATAAAAATATTTTAAACCAAATACGGACAGAAAAGCTTACTGACGTTAGAGATGTTGAATTTTACGAAGAAATGAACATGACATTTGGGGCACGATTATCAACAAGCGATCGGATAAAACACGTCATAAGGATGCCAGCTTCTTTCCTCAAGGAATTGAACGTGGTGTTACTCGAAACGTTGTTTAAATTTTTTAAGAGAAACGCAATGAGTTCAAAACTAATGCAATGGCCACTCTCCCCGGAAATATTTGCACCTATTTTTTTCTGTAAAGCTTACGAGATATCTCCGACTTACGACTACACAGCGAGTGAAGGACACTTCAGTGTGTCAAGACATACCAGAACCAAACGACAACATCGTATGCAATGACGAACAAATGTACACAAAAATGTGTGTAAAGTCTAGTCGTAGCGGAGAAAACGTTTTTTGGAGAAATATAGTACACGTATTTAACCCATAATTGTACATTGATAAAGCACAATGAGGAACTATTGTATTCGGCGGTAGATTCGCCTCATTTCTGCGTGCTATGCTGCGCCGATATGCTGCATCCGCTCCTATCGCAGAGGTCTCCGAGATTTTGTCATTGCTAGCCAGTGGACGGTGGCCTGGCCGATCTCCATATTCGTGACCTTGCAGAAGGCAGAGGCTTATCGCTGGGACAACCACTGCCAAGCCCCGCGACCAACGGCAACAAAACAAAGCACAAACATTTGCTCGCCGTTCACCTGGCGACTAATGGGATTCTAATTTCCAAGGGGAAGTTTTCAAGCGCAATAAGGAGTAATGAACAATGGATGTCTACACCTTCTAAAATGAATTTACGCACGTTTGCATTGAAGGAATGAGGAATGGCAAACATTGTGAAATACCTAATCTTGCATGTCGAATTTTAAAATATTTGTTGATGTCGTTAATTGCGACTATTGCAACTGGGGGTTTTAGTTTGTTGTGGGTAAATCTCAATATTCTGTACAGTGAATGCTATATATCATACTAGTGTAATCCGAATGTTGTCAAAATATATTTACCAAAACCTACAGAATATTAATATTTGAAAGCAAATATCATCGTAGTCAATTCATTTAGCGCGATGTTGCAAAATGCGATTTCAATAATTTCAATCAAAATAGTATTTTTCAAGATCTGTAAATCTAGTTGCTACAATATATTGATGATAATGATAATGATGTCTAGAATGTATAATTTCCATTCCATTAAATAAGTTCTAATTGAATCGACGAGTCAACGTATTAACGCTGTGTTGATGATATTATTTAAATTCCACCATATCAAATATAATGTTTATAGTTTTGTTTGTAGAATATCTGGATATTTCAATTTTTAATGTTGTTTTGCATTTGTGTAACAATATATATAAATAATTCGGATTTCACCTAACTTTTTACAAAATGCTTCGTCATTTAGGAGGGAATGTTCCCGTAGGTTTTGGAAACAGGAAGGAGGGTGTATAAAATCCTCGAATATAGACTGTGCAATTTTTAGGTGTTATGAAAATCCATAAACACGTTTAATTGAAAATAACGTTGATAAATTGAATATTGAAATTCTTTCATTATTCAAGTACATGGAAATTTATACAAAAAATCGTTATTCGGTATGTTTACAGTGTTCATGATACTCCAACGATAATATTCGCGCTCAGATTTTCGCCATAAACTGTGAACATTAGCATGTTTAATTTAAGGTCCGTTATTAAATTGCGTATAATAGCCTACACGATTAATGGTTATGTAAATTTCAAGAACAAAAGGTTGCATAGAGGCTTATAATTCGTTGCGATATCTGCGAGTCATTTTGTTTTCGTATGGAATTTACTCTTCTTCTGCACTCTCCACACACCTAGTCGGGGATGGATGAAGGAATGCAGTATTGGTAGGGAAGGAGGTGACATCTTCTAGAGGATGGGATCTAGTGAAAACACTGGGAAGAGGTTTCAGGAATCGCGCATTGTGCTGTGAAGAAAAAAACTTCCCCTTGTGATCTTAGCGAAGTAAAA